GTGCGCATCTGATCAAGCTATCCTAGGGGCAAGGCCATAGCTGTAGTCAGTGCGTCATTCAGTGGACAGGAGTAGCTTAGAGCTATAGGAGGACAAGGGAGACTGCTCTGTGTTTGGGTAGCTGATGGAGGTTCATCTTTGTGTTCCAGCAGATGGCATTGAGCTAGGCTGAGGGAATCTGAGGATCTGTTGGGAGGAATACTTAGGGAAACTTTATTAGGGAGGAGGGACGTGGAGGGACAATTGGAGGAGTGAATAAGAAGGTGGGTGCCAGTGGTAGATTATTTTTGATACCTCATATGGTAGTTACTTGATGCTCCAAATATGCCAGAGTATCTAAATAAATGTTATATTTTATAATAGTCAATGTAGGAGGCAATGTGTATGCTTGTTTTAATCTTGTTGCTTATACAATAGACATTTTTTTGTCAGTTCTTTTGGGACTGCCTTCAGGTAATAGCTGCTGTCATTTTTTATCCCAAATTAGGTTTTACAATTTAGTCTCAGTTTATTCAAACACTTTATTTAATTAACTTGGCTCCAAATTACTTTGTGATTATTTTCAGAAAAGACTTGTTGTCATTTTTTATATTCACAACAGTTTGCACCTGTGTCTTAAGAGGAGCTCCAACATTTTGAGGGGGCCAGGGGTTGCAGGTGAAGATAATGGGTAGCAACATTGGACAAGATAGTAGATACATTGAAAAGGGCCAGTTAGCCATTTGGGAGTCATTTCTTTTAAAAGAAAAATTGCTACTAGGTATTATAACTAATCAAGAATAGTTCAATTTATTATTTTTAAATGAAGAGCATTTTTTTTCAGTAATATTTCAATTAGGTTTTGGTTTTATAAAGTAGTTTTATGTTTGTACTTTTAAACAAGATTTTTGTGTTTTCTTTTGGTTTGTTTGCTAGGCTGATTTATCTCTGTATAATGAATTCAGATCTTGGAAGGATGAGCCCACAATGGACAGAACGTGTCCTTTCTTAGACAAAATCTATCAGGAAGATATCTTTCCATGTTTAACATTCTCAAAAAGTGAGGTAATTTTTTTTCATTTTAATAGGAATGCATTATAGTTGTTTATGTGCTTTTTACTAAATCATTACATATTTTTCAGTATCTCTTGCCTAAATAAGTTATTATAAAATGTCATATTCTACCATTTCTCCATTCCATATTAGGATCATATTAATTTCTTGGTATTCAGTTACTGAACATCTTTCCTTCTTTGAGCAGAGAATCATTTCACACAAAAATGTGTATTGGATTGGAGTGAAGTGTTAAATGTGTACAAGGGATAGGGTTTATTTCTTGATTCCTAGTCCAAGGTTCAGTGTAAGGGAAGTTCTCTATTTATTCTGTTAAAGACGTTTGTTGGGTTTATCTATACATGATAAAGAATCATATTTAGTTTCTTTATCTTTAAAAGAGGAAAAATAACGCCTTCTTGTCTATGACACAGGGTTGTTAAGAAGATAAAATGAAGTGGATTAGTAGATACAAAAGCTTTTAAATATTTTAGGGCACTATATAAAGTCATTGCACTGCACTCCAGCCTGGGTGACAGAGGGAGACCCTGTGTCATA